AATTAATGAACATGGTGGAAATCCCTGTCCTGTGCTCCATGGTCTCCTGCAGTGTGGGGATCATGGCTGTGTGTGGGATTAGAGCCTGAACCAGCAGCTCCTCTTTAGCTTTTCCCTCCAAAAACTTCTACATGACCATCAATCTTTATCCCTTTTCTTTCACTCTTGCCTTCCCCTGCTTTTGCAGAGCCTTTTGCTACAGGAATCCCACTACAGATCCCCAGATTCTTGTTGAGCCCTTTGTATTTTTTAACCCTCCTGCAGAAGATGATATTCCCCTTTTTTACAGCTGAGTTTCTTCCTGTCAAAACCTCTGGTGGGAGGTGTCCCTGCTCATGGCAAGGAGGTTGGAACCTGACCATCTTTCAGGTCCCTTCCAACCTTCACATTTCTATGAAAACCTTCCCTGTAACCCAGATACGTGTCCCAGGGGGGTCAGTCCTGTCCATGTGCTGAGTTTAAGGAACCAAGGGATTGACACCCTGCTCAGACCTTCAGGAAAAATGGTATTGACTCCTCATGTGTATTCACCTTGCAGCTTTTCCTCCTGTGTCTGGTCCCAGAGGTCAGACTGAGGAAGCTGCAATTCCTTAAAGCCTCTGGGAGCTGTTTCAAAACCTCTGTCCTATTTCCCACTTTATTTACCTTGATTGCAAAGGCTCTGTGCTAAAATTATCATCCCCCTTGAGCAAGGCTGATGGACCAACATCTGCCCTGCTCCTGGCAGTGACATCTCCCAAATAATTTTGAAGGGAGGAGCTGTGTGTCCACTGGCATCACCTCCCAGTGCACTGAGAATTCCTGCTTTCCTCTTCAGTCAGGGGAGCAGCTGTCAAACATCAAGGAGCACACCAAGCAGATCAACGACATCCAGACCTCCAGGGACATGACCATGTTCATCACTGCCTCCAAGGACAACACAGCCAAGGTGGGACTTCCCCTGGGATCTCTGCTGGGAGCTGGGGCTGCCATGGAGGTTTGATTCTGAGGGATCTGGGGAAGTGGGAAGTCCAGAGCTTGAGTGGGAAAGGAGAGGCACCATCATGGCAATTTAAGAGCCAGGGACTGGGAGCAAGGCTGCCAAAATGGAGGCTGCAGTTTGCTCCCTCTGGGAGATGGCAGAGGTGGGAGTTCCCTTAGACCAGCAGTTTGGGATTCTGGGGAAATGGTTTTGGGATTTGGGTGCCCATGTAAAGGAAACATCTGCCCAGGCGTGGCCTGGCAGTCAGATTGGTGTGAGCTAATGGGGCTGGCAGCCCTTCTGCAGGGTAACCCCCTCTCCTTTCTGCAGGGTAACCCCCTCTCCCTTCTGCAGAACTAACTCTCCCTTCCCCCCCAGCTGTTTGACTGCACCACCCTGGAGCACCTGAAGACCTTCCGGACGGAGCGACCCGTGAACTCTGCTGCTCTCTCCCCCATTTTTGACCACGTAAGCTCATGGCTGTCATGGTCCAACTCTGCTTCCTGCCTGGTTCCAGGCAGCTGGAAGGCTTCGTGGCACCAGCCCAGCTCAAAAACGTGGCTGTGGGATGGGGCTGGGGAGCTTTACTGTGATCTGGTGCAGGGAAGGAGGGTTCATGTCCTCTGATCTTCAGATGAGTATGTCTGGGGGGTGGGAATGGCTCTGGAATGACTCCAGCTCTGGGGCTGGAGTCAGGCCTGCTCCTGAGTTTGGGATCTGCTGGGTTGGTTGGAAGTGTCCCCAAGGCTCAGCTCCCTCCTCTCCTGGCTGAGTGTGCTCTAAGCAGCACTGAAGTCTTGTGGCTTCTCTCCTTTGCAGGTGGTGCTTGGTGGTGGGCAAGAGGCCATGGATGTGACCACAACCTCCACCAGGATTGGCAAATTTGAGGCCAGGTTGGTCCTTTTCCTCTAGCAGGTCCAAGTCCTGGTCTGGAGGACTCTGAGAACCCAGGGGGACTAGTCCCAGAGCATCTTTCTCCTGGCAGTGCTGGGGGAGTCACTAAACTTGTGGAGATGTTTTGAGGGAAGGGATTTTTTTGAGGTTAGGGATTGTGACCCTAACCAGGCTCCTGACTTCCTGTGATCATGAGAATCTTCTCCCTTCTCCCAGGTTCTTCCACTTGGCTTTTGAAGAAGAGTTTGGCAGAGTGAAGGGTCACTTTGGTCCCATAAACAGCGTTGCTTTCCACCCTGATGGGAAGAGGTGAGGATCTCTCTGGGTCTTGCAATATGTCCCACCTTTTGGTGAGGACATGGCTGGGCTCATGGGATCTCCACAGTGGAAATGGAGACACCACCTTCCTTAACTCTCCCATTCCAGCCCTTCCCCCCAGCCTGTCCTGGGGGGTCACTTAACACCCTGTTACACATTTTAGCTGCATCGCTGATACTTTGTTTGTGTCTTGTGACTCCTGTTGGTTTCTGGGGAGGTGGGTTGTGAGGCCAGACCTCCCTGGTTTGTTGCAAACACAGACTGTGAGCTCCTGACGTCATCAGTGACATCATCTTGCCTTTCCTCCTGCAGCTACAGCAGCGGGGGGGAGGACGGCTATGTTCGCATCCATTACTTCGACCCCCAGTACTTTGAGTTTGAATTTGAAGCTTAAAGGAGGAGCTGCCCTCTCCTCTCCCAGTCCATCGGCTCCTCTGTGGAACGTTGTGGAAGGCCTGAAGTTGGGTGGCTCCCAGGAGGCAGCAGGAAGCATCAGCAGCAACCTCGGGGGAGCTGTGGGAAGGGGGGGAGTGGGAAACCCAGCTGGCTCAGCAGGGCAGGATGGGCTTTCCCAGGAGGTGGTGGAGGCAAGGACAGGAGCCTGGCTGCCTGCCTGCCCCTGGGGCTGCTTCCTGCCCTGCTGAGCTTATTTATACACCAAGGGAGGAAAGAAATAATTAGAACAGGAAATAAAGATAAATCTTTTATAAAGGAAAAGCACCTCTGTGGGGGTTTGGTTTTTGGTTTTATATTTGGTCTGGAACAAAATTAACCTGAGTTCTTTCCCTTCCCGACTCTGGTGGCAGTGCCCTGCTCCAGGGATGCCATTCCTGGGGCTGTTTCCCTCCCTGGGTAAACTCTCCCAGGGAGGATCTGCAGCCTTGGATCAGGTCTGGCCCTGAGGTGTGAACAGGCTGGAAGCTCCACATCCAGCCCTTGTTTTCCAGAGGCTGGGTTCTCCCTGCTTTTGTTTACCTGCCAGGCTGACCCCGGGGCAGCTTCCCTCCTGGAACAGTCGTTTCCTGCACTGGTTCCCTTGTCTTGTGGATCCTTCCAGCCCTCACCCTCTGTCTGTCTGGGGTGGTTTGTGTCTCTCTTTCCTTCCTCAGAACTGGGTTCAAGGGCAGATTTCCTGGGCTGGCTCCCAGCTCAGCGACTGACTCAACACCTCAGCCTGCCCCGGGTGCTGCCGGGTCAGTGTGTTCTGACCCTTTTGCCTCTACTTGGAGCTGCCAGAGGCTGATGCTGCTGGACACTGTGACCTCCTGCTGTCATCCCCACCCAGCTGAAATCTGCTGGGGACAGAGCAGGACTAAGCTCCACTTGCTTCTGCCCCAACACAAGAGCAGAACAGCAGGCACGGGGCTGTGAGGGAAGGTGCTTTACTGAAACAAGCCCAGAGAAAGGGTCCAGCCCCACCTCCCAGAGCCACCTCCAGGCTCCGTGGGACCTGTGTCCTGCACAGCGTGTCCCACAGGACCCAGCTGCCCACTCTGCTGCTCAGCTTTTGTTCTCCATTGGAGCAGCAGGGCTGGAGAGGGTTCTGCTCAGCCTGTTCCCTCTGCTCTCCTTGACGGGGGATTCGTTGGTGTCCACTAACTGCTGGATCTCTGCCCAGGCCTCGTCCAGGTACTGGGATGAACGGATCCATCGGAAGAATAAGCCTAGGGGAGAAGGGGCTGCATGTTACTTCAGCCATGGCAAGAGAGGGAAAAGCAAAGCTGGGAGCTGGAGCTGGATTTTGGGAGTGCTGGACCCGCCTTACCCTGCCAGAGCTGGATGCTCTGGGGTTCCACGGAGGGCCAGATGACCAGGGTGTTGGGTGAGTAGAGAGGGTTCAGGTACTTCTTCTTCTCCCCAGGCTGGTTCAGCCAGGCCCAGAGGGAGTGTGTGTTCTCCTTCACTTTACACAGGCACCTGCAGGAGAGCCCAGATGCCTGTCAGTCCCTGCAAGGAGCCAAGTCTGACCCAAGCTGTGAGCGGGAGGGCTTTGCTCTGCCCTGCCCAGCAGGGTGATGTTCCCTGTCCTGCCCACAGCTCCCAGCCCGCACTGGTGGCCGCGGCGTTGCCCCTGAGGGACGGAGCCGTCCCCTCCTGCCCCGCTCACCTCTCCTTCTCGTTGTTGCAGAGGAAGGTGCCGTAGGCAGAGGCGTAGGCGTTGTCGAAGAGGGTGAGGAGGAGGCGTTCGCTGAACTCCAGGGAGAAGGGGAACTGGCGGCTCAGCTGCCACACGCAGTCCAGGAAGAGGAGGAAAAGCGGCGCCTCCTGCTTCAGCCGGGCGTGGGAATAGGCGGAGCGGGCACAGCGCACGTGGAAGGGGTGCCCGGCCTGGGGGACCCCGAGAGGGGAGAACGGCGGTGGAGGGGAGCTGGGGTGACCCCCAAGCCGGGATCCCAGCCCTCTCAGGGGACTCACCTGGATCCACTCCCGCTCCAGCAGCCCCTGGAAGCCCGTCAGGGTGCGGCAGGAGGGGTCTAGGATCAGCTGTGCCAGCGCTGTCACCAGCAGGGTCGTGTCCGTCCCCTCCGCCCCGTGCACCAGCGCGCTGGCCTCCTCCCTGCGGGCGAGCGCGGCGTCGGGGCGATGCCGGCCGAGCCAGGACGGCTCCCGGG